CACCCACACGCACACTCTTGTAAACGCTTTTATTCTTTTATCTATAAGGTGGTTGTTTTATATGTGCGAAGTGCAGGGATATGAAGAAGAGAAAACGTAGCAGAGAGGTGAAGAAAGCATGATGCAGGAAAATGGTTTGAGTCCCAAAAAGATGGTTATGGAACCTGAAAAACTGCGAAAATGCGGAGTTTTCTTATTTCTTTTTACGGCTATTTTCCTGATAGAAATGCGATTTCGTCTAGAAGCAAATGAGACGCGAATAGTAAAGGATGCTCCCTTCCGTAAGCTACGTGTCGGAGGAAAAGAAAATGTATACACAATGCGTAATTAGAGGTAGCAAACAAAAAGGAAAAAGCAGACCTTGTGGCATGTGTTCGGCGAAATATAATCTAGTCATTTCAATGAACTATCATTGATTGACATACTTTTATGCAGCTTTCATCCTGGACAATAGCACTATGATAAGACTTAAAGTGTCCTGATTTTAATCGAAATTCCTGATTTGTTTCTAAAATGTGTCCTGCATATTTTCCTGATTTTCAGGCATAGGCCGCTGTGACCTCTGCATTTCATTTTATCTTATAAAAGCTTTTCAACTTCATTATAATGATACATAATACGTAAATTGAGAAAATCTCTAGTGGACGATAATTGCCTCTGAAGAATAATCAATCATGAGAGAAACGATCTATCTTTCTGTTTTGGCATTTTTATTTGTCTTATTGCTGTCCGTCGATTATTTATTTTTATAATTTTTGTTTCATTTTTATGAAACTAGTACCATTATGATTATAATTCTAATTATTGATTACACTGACAAATAAGACTATTCTACAAGTTATATATATTTTCGACAAGTCTCAATATACTTTGATGTATGTCGATCACTTCTGAAACACTGCTTTTGATTATTCTCGAAAGCTATACAGCTTAATTAGTTCATAATCATAGTGTTTTTCATATGACGACTGTGATAAATCAAAAGATTAATGATCATCGATAATATGCCTCATATGATAGAATATCTACACATAAAATCTGAAACTACACTATTTAGAACATTCAAAAATATGTATGTCAATCATTAAAATTCCAAGAAAAAATTTGAAATATTCTCGAAAAATCTAAAGCTTCTTTTGAATATCATTCAGTTCTTTTTTTTTCTATTGCTGAGAAACTATAGGAAAGGAACGTAGTGCTTCAACCTAGTTACGGCTATCAAATGCATTGAAATAATTGATCATTACCTCCATCGTCATACTTTCATCGAAGTTCCTATGGAAGGAAAATCGAAAAACCTCAGCTTATAACTTACATGAATTATTTTCCATGATCGAACATGATCATATTAGAGAATCCAATCAATGTAAGAATATGTACATATATATCTAGTAAGTATGTCACGTGATCCACTGCAATTCCAGTCACTGAGTTTATCTAATTTATTAATAATTATTACCTTGGAAATAGATGTCGTACATGTATGCCTATCTTACAAAGTCTTTTGTCTCTATTTAAAATAATAAGTTATAAAAAGTTTATTTTATTTTATTCAATTAATATTTAATGTTAATAGAAATAAAATTCGATTAACAGTGTGAAAGTAAAATTATCTGAAAATCCATTTTGTACCGAATCCATTCTGGCTCTTTTTTCTTTCGTTCATTCCCAATCAATTAAACTATTTTTTTTGGTTTTAAGTACTTTTCTCATAAAAATGACTGTTTCTTCTTCATCTCCAACTCATTTTATACCGATTGATCCTCGTATTTATTGTGAAACCATGAATGAACTTCATTCATACATCACAAGTTCGAAAACGTGGTTATTTAACACAAGCGGAACTTTTTCGTTATGGTCGACAACAACATGATGATACCGAAATACCATATCGTTTATTAGGCTACTGATCATTACTTGATTTATTCAGTAGTGATCAACGTCTATTTTCTATTGATTTACGTCGTGAATCAGCTTATGTTTATTCATCAGTAAAAGTAATTTATCGAAAATTAAAAATTTTATTTTATTTGTTTTTTTTTAAATTTAGCTTCGACAACAAAAACGAGAACGACAACGTATGTTTATAATAAATAATGAATTTTCTTATCTAAATAATAAATTTAATATAATAGAAAGTAGTACAAGTTATTCTCGTCAACATCATTCAACAAATACACTTGATGAACAACATATAACACCTTCGAATTAGGTTTTTTCTTTGTGAAAAAAACAAATTTATTTTGTTTAATTTTTTTTTTGAAAAACTTTTCTTTAATTAAGGATCATCATGCACCATTAAATGAACAACAACAAAATATCGAATCTGTTGATGAACAAGAATGATCAATTGAACGAGAAAATGAACGTCCATTAACACCAAATAATTCTCATCATCATTCGGATAAAAATCTTTGGGTAAATTTATCAAAACCAATAAATAAAATTATTTAGTTTATTAATTTAATTTAAACATATACCACAATTAGATGAACAAATTCCATTAATCAATAAAAAATATTAATTCAGATGAGAATAACAACTAACAATTCAGTTTATATCAAGTGCATTTTTACCATTCCTAACTGTTCGTCTTCCAGTAGAAATTTAATTTATACAAAAAAAAAATTTTTATTTTTATTTATTTCTCTATGGGAAATGAATGATACATCATCATATATTAAATGTGAAAATGAATTAAAATCAATTCACCGACGAATAATTTCTTGTGATAATCAAAATAAAATTAGTTCATCTCGTCTTAATCGTCCAATAAGTACATCAAGAACATCCTTATCAAAATCTTATTCTTTTCATCTAATTGATTTATATATATTTATTTGTACTATTGTTATTTGTTTTGTTTGTGTTGGAATTTATTTTTATAAAATTTGTTACATGATTTTTCTTTTCTTTTTTTGGTTTTCTTTTTTATTTATTGAAGTCCTGAAGAAGAAACAGTTACTAATTGTTTTTCGTTTTTTTTACTTTATATGTATTATACACATTCGTTTATGATTTATTCATGCTTTTATTTTTTATTAAAAGATTAACACAAAAAAAAATACAATAAACTAAAAAATGATCGAAAACAAAGACGAAAACCAAAACAACAAATTGGTTATCATCGATGACCAAGCAGTTTTTTCGGTTTCGTTCGATTTTCGGCCTTTTTTTATTAGTTAAAAATTAGTTTGTTTTTAGATTTAACATTATAAAACGATTAAATGAATTCTCTTCAACGTGTCAAGGAAGAAGTATTATAAAATAAAATAAATTTTTTTTAATTATTGTAATTTTCTAGATCGTATATTGTACGGATCGTCGAAAAATATGTCAAGAAGCATTGAACAATTTGTTGGCACCAACAAAAAAAGAACCACCAATTGATATTCATCGAGATTATTTGTCTATTCAGGCATTAAGAGCAGAAATACTATTCATAGGGTGTGGGTGTGGGTGGGTGTGGGTATCCATTCAAAGAAGACTCACACCCACACACCCACCCTGAACTCTTTTTGCATTATTGTTAATTATAATTAAAAGGATTTTTATCATTAGATTTTTGTGCGTAAGAAATTTGTAATTGTGGTCTACTATCTGTTGCGAATGACTTATCTCATTATTTCTAACAGGGATCTACTAATGCACTTTGTGAAGGTCACTTTTATAAATGGGTCGATTAGAAAAATAATTACACAGAAAAATCAAGCGTATTTTACACTTTTGTTATATAATATTTTCATTGTGCTCATCTTTATTATAAACATTTCAACTCCAAAAAAAATAACTCAATACAGTCGATGTCACTGATACAGACAACTTAACCGCACTGACAAACCTAATGAAATCGAAACCTTGACTCAATTCTGAGAACTTCTGAAGAGTTTAAAATGTTCATGTATTTTCGTAGTAGAACGTTTTCTTGATCGCAGATAATTAGCACATGGCATTATCTATCAAGTTTTCTAAAAAATGGCCAGCATAATACTTAGCAGAAACCATTACTCATATTAGGCTGATTCTGAATAAATATAAATCTTAATATATGACTAATTTATAGAAAAGTATTCACACCGTACATTTAGAAATAATCATTAAAAGACAAGCGCATTCGTTTTATCAGTCAGTAGATCATTGAATTGGAAGAAATCTTCTTATAGACAACTACATAATATTTGATAAAAAAAAACTATGTTTAATGGGAACCTCTTTAAAGAAAAGTTCGATTGATATTGTAACTAATTTTTTTTTCATTTAGTACATGGTCAGAGTCTGATAATTGATTGAATCCATAGGAAGAAATGCACTTAAATGGCGCCACATGTAGAAACACTTTTTTAAAGATTCTTATTCTTATCATTCGAAATAATAAAGTAAAATAGACATTTTAGTATAATTTGTTTGTTGGATCCAAGTCGCATTTTCGAGATCACCGTTGGTTGGCGGTGACAACAGACGCAATAATGACTTATTTGAGCCAATAGACACTTTTCATCAAGAATTTTTTCGCGTTCTCCCTCATTTAGATATGATACATTGACCTATCGTTAGGAAATGCCTTAGTGATGGCGATAAATAGCATCATCTGTATATTCGAGACACTTTTTAGCCCAAAATCTTATATACTATGTGAAAAAGAATAATCTTTTACATTGGCTACTGTTAAAGTTATTTCGGGCTCGTACTGAAACTGCAGATGGCACGTACAAGTGCATTTCTTGATATTATTTCGCTATTATGTCTATACTTCATTTGCTCTGAGTGCGTACTAATTGTTCTGTAGACTATGAGGGAAGCTTGCAGAAAGAATAGAAAACATGCTATGTTTAAATAAATTATAGATAAACTATTCGTTTCAATTTTATCGACGAACGAGTCTAAAGAGTACTAACTATTGACAAACATTAATTCTATGTATGAAAAATATGAATTTTCTTTTGTGTTCTTTCTGATAATATGATTTAAGTCGAATCTTGTTTTGAGAAATGTCCTCAATGATCTTGAGTCGTTTTTTTTTTGCATAGATATTATAAGTATTTCTTTGTTTTAACAGAATGGTCTCATGAATGATAAACACAATTAGGAGTAGACAATGAATGATCACCAATAGTTTATCCATTCGTTCGAAAATGTTAGTATTAGAAACAGATCTAAAGAGACATCTATATATCATTTATTCTTGATTAATTAGAGAAACATAAGCAATAAGTACACTGATTTACATAGAATGTCTCGAATTCATCAATCATACGTTTCCTCAATTGTATCGTAGAGATGATCCGTTGATATTTCACTTTGAAATTCTTCTTTCCAAATGTTATCCTTTCTGTCGCTCTCTTTCTTCATTTTTTTGTCCTCAATAATCGGCCATGGAGCATGAACAATAATATAACCAACAAATCGAAGACAATCAGCTGCATATTTCAATGGTTCTTGCATATGTGCATGCCACATGATATCTATCTGAAAACGTATAAATATATTCATAAAACAACACTATTCTCTTCCATAATAGAAATTTTACCGCATAGGTTGGTGGTACAAAATCATTGCTGTCTTTCAGTGGATATTTTGCTGCCATATATAAAAATCGTTCGTAGGACTTTTTTAAACGCTTCATAGTTCCAGTTCCAAGATCAATATAGTCGCGTGATCTCCCATAGTAACCATGAATAGGAACCCGTTCCAATGAATCATGCATAAATGTTTTACATAAAGCGAGCCAATGATCATCAAGAATGATTTCAGCTTCAGTGAATGAAAAAGGATTTTCATATTGTTTTGGTGGATTCGATGAAAATTCGAAAAATGTTTGATCCCAATACGAATAAGCGTCTTGAGACTGATTTATTAAATCGTCCTCATCAGATAAATCATCCGATATTGACTTTCGATCATTCTTATCTGATGGTAATTGACAATATTTTTCGCCGAATCGTTCTTCATAAAATTGACATGTTTCTCGAAATGCTTGCTCTTTTAAAAAATGTTGAATATCTGTAGTTAACAATGAATGATCAACAACTTGACGAAATAAACGGAGACAATCAGTTCGATACATTTCTGGTCGAAGTAAATGTGTTTGCCAAACGATTTCAATATCAAGTGTAGGAATGAGTAAGATATTTGGTAAATAGAGAGCTTTCAATTGCATGAATCGATAATATCTTGTTATCATTTGTTTCAATACAGCAGATTGGTACCATTGATCTTGAAATCTGGATACTTTTTCCAACATTGATATGAGTTGATGGGCTGTTTTGTCAATATCGACAGACAATTCGATCGTCCTAAGATAAAGAATAAAACATCAACACTATATAAAAGAAGAGTATTTTCACTATTTATCAAACAGAATTTATCTCAAACATTTTATTTCACGATCCATGCGTATCTAATATGACTAAAGCAATTCACGAACTAATGACTCATACTCTTTAGAATGTATATCTTTACTTTCGCTATGAAATATCAATGTACTTTTTTCTCATATAACACTGTCTTTTTTAAAACCATCTCACTATGATCAAATTCATTACGAGAAATATTCTCTAAAATTAGTTTAGTTTTTTGTCAAGTTTTAGCCAGATGTTGATAGAATGTTTTGAATGGAGCAAGACTAGTTACAGATTTGATCGAGATGTCTTCAAAGACAAGTGTTAAAACTATAAATGATAGACGTTTTTCAATAGATCTGTCTAATAGAACCAAAGAAGAGCTTTTTCATGTAAAATGTCAATTTTAGCTTTTATGATATGTTCTGATTTCACCAGTTAGATTGATTTATCCTAATAAAGGTTTTATCTAATATGGAGCTTTCTTGACTTGAGCTGCTAATGATCGTTCATGTAAATATCGAGGACATGATAATGATACCAGATAATTACGCTACATTTTGTATGGATCACTCAACGTTTGTAACTAGTTGCTTCATCGGTAATTTAATAATCTATTATAGTGAAGATGTTTTAGAAAGTATATTTCATCATTGAATAGGTGGCAAAATAGAAAAAATCAATTTCATATATACAATGTCGTTTCAAATAAAATAAAGCATTTACTCACACCATGAATAACAAAATTCTATTTTTGACCCTCTTAGAAAACATTGTTTTACATATATGTTAAAGGATAGAAATTCTTGTGTCAAAATATGGTTAGTAGAAAAGAATAGTTTAGACTAAATCAAAAGTCTAAAGATTAGAAAACGAAAGTATTAGAAATTCTGGTTTGGACAAAGAAATGAAGGAAAACGTTTATTTGTAGAAGTTTCGAAGAACTGATTCATCCCACCGTTCCATATACAGACTAGTATTGTTCGATACTGAATAGTTTCAAGAATTTCGATTTGAGTTTTCTCAGAAATCAATGTACAGAACAGCCGTTCAACATATTTGTTTTTTTGACACGACTACTGTCTAACGTTTGCTAACATGCTTTACTTGATCAGATATGAAAAAGAGATGATGAATGTTCCTTTTTTTTGAATATCTTTTCATTGACATTCCAACTATGTTCTAGGACTTCAAGTGATTTCAATTTACTTGAATTGGACATTAAATTTTTAGTCCAAAATCAGTTCTAGCATAAATAAGATTACAACAATGGTCATTTTATTGTTTTTTGGATTACATACTGTTTAGATAAGGGAATCAATCAAAGTAAATATCATTGAAGAGAATTATCGGTAATCAAAAACTTATCATCTTAACTAACTTAATATTTTACTATTTTCCGTATTAAGTTTGAAAGTTCACGTATGAATCATTATACTTAGGGAAAATTAATCATGATCGAAGTTGCATTTATCTGATACGTATGAACAGAGTTCAAGTAATAACCGCAATACACGTCGGTATAAATAAAAATGTAACTATCTTACATGTCTTTTGAAGAATTTGGATGTCGGCTGAAACCATTAACAGTTTCAAGTGGATGTTCAACTACTGGTCGAAGTGGATGTTCAACTACTACTGGTCGAACTAGATATTGTGGGCAATAACTTATGAGACATGCTAGTCGGCCAAATGGCGCCGTATTTGCTAATTTTCGTTTTAGTTCTTCATTTCGTAAATATTTCTCATACATCCAATCCATATAAGTTTGTTTGAATGATTTTGAATATAATTTCGTTGAAGCTATTGTATATTTTCCAAAAATCATTGTAGACATAGATATTAGAAAAAGAAATCAAGAATTCTTACTATTGCACTTTATTTTCCAAATGTCATCTTGATCTGCAACCATTTTGAATAATCGACAAACGAGTGACAC